CTCTCTCTCTCTCTCTCTTCTCTCTCTCTCTCTCTCTCTCTCTCTCTCTCTCTCTATCTCTCTCTCTCTCTCTCTCTCTCTCTCTCTCTCTCTCTCTCTCTCTCTCTCTCTCTCTCTCTCTCTCTCTCTCTCTCTCCACTGCCCACAGACAAAATTGTATGCTTTTAGTAGGCTACAGTTGTAATGGAACGTTTGTTCACGGCACAGAATTCTACAATTTTTCTGTTATCACAGTGTAGAATTCTATGGTTTAGGGTGAACGCAAAATTTGTTGGCCTAGATATAGGCTATAACGGCCGGGTGAGAATAGAGGTGGCCAAACATCTATCGTCCCGATCTCTCCTCCTTTTTTGTATGGAAGTGGCTATTCTCACCCGGGGTGAGAATAGAAATACGATCGACCTCTCACCCCGGGTGAGACTTGCCATCGTAGGCTATTCTCTCCCGGTGTGAAACAAGACCTGTTTTTCCTAATTTCGGAATACTTTCTATCGATGTGGATGATCAAATGGATAAAGGCAAAGAAAAGATTACGTTATAGCACAAAAGTAAGCTAATTTGATCGTCTACAAAGATGCTATGGCTATTTCACTTTTCGAATCGAGCCGAACTACGGGGGTCGCCATTTTGTTTTGCCCGGAAGTTCTCGCAAGATCTACTCCTCCCCTCTTCTCTCTCTCTTGTCTCTTTCTGAATACTGTCTATCGGTGTGGACGATCAAATTGACCAAAACAAAGTAAAAAAATGATGTTAAAACACAAAAGTAAATTAATTTGGTCGTCTACAAAGATGCTACGGCTTTTTAACTTTTCGAATGGAGCTGAACTATGTGGGTCGCCATTTTGTTTTGCCTGGAAGTTCTTGTGCTACTCCTCTCTCTCTCTCTCTCTCTCTCTCTCTCTCTCTCTCTCTCTCTCTCTCTCTCTCTATCTATCTCTCTCTCTCTCTCTCTCTCTCTCTTATCTCTCTCTCTCTCTCTCTCTCTCTCTCTCTCTCTCTCTCTCTCTCTCTCCACTGCCCACAGACAAAATTGTACGCTTTTAGTAGGCTAACAGTAGGCTAGTAATAGAACGTTTGTTCACGGCACAGAATTCTACCATTTTTCTGTTATAGTAGAATTCTGTGGTTTAGGGTGAACGCAAAATTGGTTTGCCTAGATCTAGGCTATAACAGTGAACGGACACCGGGTGAGAATAGCCAAAAGACTCGCCTGCGCTATTCTCACCCGGGGTGAGAATAGCGGTGGCCTTTTTGTATTTGTTACTCTCTGGTAACACTTCTATTTTTCGGCACTTATGAAGTTATGTGGCCTTATTGTGTTGCAAGTGCCGTAAAACTCTTAATGAAACGAATATGCGGTGCCGCAATGAAAATAAATCAATATTTGTCAATGTGCTGTCATTTGTTAAAAGGAAATGGCTATCCTCCCCCGGGGTGAGAATAAAAATACGAACGACCTCTCACCCCGAGTGAGACTTGCCAGCGTTGGCTGTTCTCACCCGGTGTGAAACAAGACCTGTTTTTCCTAATTTCGAAATACTGTCTATCGGTGTGGGTGATCAAATTGACAAAAGCAAAGAAATAAATGACGTTATAGCACAAAAGTAAGCTAATTTGATTGTCTACAAAGATGCTATGTATGGCTATTTAACTTTTCGAATCGAGCCGAACTACACAGGTTGCCATTTTGTTTTGCCCGGAAGTTCTCGCAAGATCTTCTCCTCCTCTCTCTCTCTCTCTCTCTCCGTCTCTTTCTGAATACTGTCTATCGGTGTGGACGATCAAATTGACCAAAACAAACATAAAAAATGATGTTAAAACACAAAAGTAAATTAATTTGGTCATCTACAAAGATGCTACGGCTATTTTACTTTTCAAATCGAGCGGAACTACGCGGGTTGCCATTTTGTTTTCCCCCGGAAGTTCTGGTGCTACTTCTCTCTCTCTCTCTCTCTCTCTCTCTCTCTCTCTCTCTCTCTCTCTCTCTCTCTCTCTCTCTCTCTCTCACTGCCCACTGACAAAATTGCACGCTTTTAACGTTTGTTCACAGCACAGAATTCTACATTTCTGTTATCACAGTGTGTTTCACCGTGAACGCTGCACTGGTTGGCCTAGGCTATCTATCACGGTGAACGCACACCGGGTGAGAATAGCGAAAAGGCTCGCTTTTGAGAATAGAGGCATCCTTGTTTTTAAAAAAAAAGAAAAGAAAGTTATACAAGCATCTTGTCGGGCCCGCTGTCGTGACTGGTCAGTGAACCTGCGCATTCGCATCACATTGTGAGTGCAGGCCATTGTTGGGGTCACCAAAGATCATTCAAAGTCTGAGCGCTGTGAAGTATAGGACTCAGAAATGGGGGATTATTGATTTTTTTTCTTTTAAGATACACTGG